AAAGAAGACAAAAAAGAAAGGGATAGGGAAGGAGGGAGGGAGGGAGGAAGAGAGAGAGAGAGAGAGAGAGAGAGAGAGAGAGAGAGAGAGAGAGAGAGAAGAAGAAGAAGAAGAAGAAGAAGAAGAAGAAGAAGAAGAAGAAGAAGTAGAAGAAAGGAGGGGAGGGGAGGGGAGGGGAGGGGAGGGGAGGGGAGGGGAGGGGAGGGGAGAAGGACATTTCAGCCTCCTGTTTTCATATCCCCAAGGTTAACCCCATCCGTGACTCTCCAGGAACTGAGCCAGTAAACTCCAGTTTAAGCTAGACTGAGTTATGTTTACTTAACAGCAAAAGATGCTTGAATTCTACATCATCATTATTCTTTTTAATGGCTCACAGGGGCCCGGAGTCTGAATGCTGCATAATTTATTAACCTTCAGTCCCTGGTGAGCATTTGATTCTTCCCCAGTTCCCTGGTTATCAGCGATACTGGGAGGAGCAGCATCTCATTAGGAGCACGTTCTAAAGGTGAACAAACATCCAAGTGTGCAGCACCGCCCTCGACCCCCATCCCTGCCTTTGACATCCCGAATTACAGAGTCTCCCGGGCTAGCCTCCTCCGGCCCCTGTGCTGTAGGCTCTTGGTAAGTCTTGTGGCCGAACCTAGACGAGGAGGCAGGTGGCAGGGGGGCGGGGGGGGGGGCGGGGAGCGGGCACATTTGGAAAGCCCCTGGCTCCTGAAGCCCCGTTTGCTGCTCGGGGCCTGGTGGGGGGGGGGGGGGGGGCGATGCCAGAAAGCTCAGCAGTTCCAAGACAGAGAGTGGCTCCATCTGCCAGACCGAGGCTGTCTCCAGGTCTGAGTCATTAGGACAAATGAGAAATCAGGGAGAAGGATGAAAGAGAGGGACTCAGGTTCTTCATCCCAGACACACACCCTGCCCACACTGCTAGGTCCTACCCAGCTCATCCGATACAACCATGTGCCCCATGAGGGTCAAGGTTTTTGTCTGTCTTGTGCCAATGCCGAGAAGGGCACACACCACATAACAGGGCTTCAATAACTATCGACTGAACGGATGGGTGGGTGGGTGGATGGATGGATGGATGGATGGATGGATAATGGATATATATATATATGTAGGTATGGATGGATGGATAATGGATAGGTGGAAGGATGGATGGATGGATGGATGGATGGATGGATGGATGGATGGGTAATGCATATATGTATGTATGGATGGATGGATGGATGGATGGGCGGATGGATGGATAATGGATGGATGGATGGATGGATTGGTAATGGATGGATAAAGTACTCTAACAGTGCGGCCCAAACAGGCTCAAGGGCAGGTTCTGCCCCTTACTCACTCTGAGTCCCCTCTGTCCCCGGTAAAAGAAGGTCACTAAGTTAGACCACCTCTAAGCTCCTTCTCGCTCTCACCCTGGAGACAGCTGTGCCCGGTGAGGAACTCTGAGCTTCGGGGCAAACAGGAAGCATCACTCATACAGTGTTGCTACAACAGGATTCAGTGCTGGACCTTCCCCGTCTCCCTGGGGGTGGGCCGGCCGCTGGACTTCTTTCTCCGCGTTTCAAGTGAGACGGGCACAAAGGCAGACAGCACAGGGCTTGGGCCTGAGCTTTGCTCCTTCCTCTCTGACCTACCCTCTCTCACTTAGTGTCCACATCTATACAACAGGGCGAGTGCACTTTGTCTGGTTGTGGAAAGGAGTGAGATGTACCATCACTCAGCACCGCGCCTGGCGTGTAGCGAGTACTCCATCATGGCAGTGGTGGTTGGTCGGGGACCTCCCAGACCCGTATTTGGGAACGCTCTGTGCTGCCCCATTCCCAACTCTGAACCCCCCTGCAGGGCACAGGGGTAAAGCGGGGCCCCGTGTGGGAAGAAGGGCTGCCTGCAGGCCAGGAAGAGCCTCAGGAAGGTCCCAATAGCAGGAGCCCCTCACACCTCCATCCTTCCTCCCGCCTGGGATTCAGGCGCAATGGCTGGAGACAGGCAGCCACTTTGGCCCAGGAGGAGACCTGGAGGATGCAAGCAGGGAGTTAGAAGGAGCTTTGATCCCTGGTCACCGGGCTTCTATCACCCGCCTCAGGCTTCTTTATCATAAGAGACAAATATACCTCTGATTTTCTTAAACCCATTGTCACTTGGATTTTATGTTTCATATCAGCAAGCCCAATCTCTTCTGTTCCCATGTTGCAGGTGACAAAAAAAAAAAACAAGGCTCGGAGGGGAGACGTTCACACAACTAGCTAAGCCCGGATTTGCATCTGGGTCTCTCTGAGTCCCCTGCCACTGATCCTACCAAACCCTTTGCCACCCACAGTGGGAGTGTCCCTCCCACCCAGGCTGCCTGCACAAGAGCTGCCAGACAGGACCAGGGCTTATGGGGCCGGGGGGAAGGGAGGTATAATCACGGAAGGCTTCACAGAGGAGGTGGCATTTGAGTCGACTCTTAGAGAATGAGTTACTCACACTCACCAACCCATTCGGACAAAAAGGGACATCCCGGATGCCAAACCGTGGCCCCGGGGACAGCATTAGGGCATGTGTTGGGGTCCCCAAGACCAGGTTCAGCAAGTCACCAGGGGGATTCACACAACCCAACATGCAGTCTTCTCCATCACAGCGGAAAGGATGCAAAGCAAAATAAGAAAAAATAAATAAAATAAAAGCCTGGGTGACAGCCAGAGGGATCCAGGCGTGAGCGTGGTCCTGTCCCGTGGAGTCACACAGAAAGCTCTTCATTTCACAGCAACAAACTGTGAAAACACGTGTGAGGCACTGTCAGCCAGGGATGTGCGCAGAGACCCAGTGCCCCCCGGCTCGCATTGGGGGGTCAGCTACGTGGGCCATGCTCCTCCCCAGACCCCAGACTCCCGGAAGGAAAGCAGATGTCCAGAACAGAGCACCCTGTTTGCACACACAGCCTGGCCACAGCGAGCCCCTTACCCGGGGTGGCAGGAGCCCTCCCCAGGTCCATGCTCCCAGAGGCCGGCGAGGGCCGGACTTGCAAGCAGGGCCCGGTCAGACCTGCTGTTCCGTCGCCTTTCTGCATGGGGAGTCACACCTCTCCCCCGCTTTCTCTTTTGGAAGTGACCTGGGAAATGTCTGTTTGTACCTCACACCCGGATTTGTTGAGAAGAATTTGGTTTGCCACTGAGATCGTTTCAACACGTTTCCTAGAAAATAGCCTTGAGGTATGCAAGAGCCAAGGAGCAGGCTGGTTTGGGGAGTCCAGCGAGCACCCCGCTGAGAGTGCTGAGCTGCCCACGGACTCCAGGTTCAGCTCGGCCCAGCCTGTGCCAGAAACGAGGCTTGGTTTTCTCTTCGGTGAAAGGAAGGCACGGACTTCCTCTGTAGCAGTGAGCTTTTGCCGCGTAACAAAAGTCTGTGGCTTGACACAGTTTCGTATTTCCCACAGTTCCGTGGGATAGCCATCTGGGGTGGGCTCAGCTTAGCAGCTCTTCTTCTCGTGTTGCCTGAGCTCACGCGTGGGGCTGCCACCAGGTGGCACTGAGAACAGCTGGGCCTTCCCCCAGGTGGCCTCCCACCCCCACCTGACTAGCCCAGGCCGGGTCCCCTTGCAGCTGGGCAGGGGTCCAAGGACAAGCGGGGAGCTACCAAACTTCTTATGGCCCAGTCTCAAAAGTCATGCAACGTCACATTCTCATGGTCCAAGAAAGACACGGCCCAGGCCAGATTCAAGGGGAGGAGAACTAGCCCTCACATCTTGATGGGAGCAGTGGCAGTGTAAGGGGTGTGGCTACAGGGAGGGGTGGAAATTATAGCTAAATTCTGCATTAAGCATTCCATTTCCCCTGTGCTCCTTTCACTCATTTCTCCTCTCCTCCTCCTCCTCTTCCTCCTGCTTCTCTTTCTTCTCTTCCTCCTCCTCCTCTTCCTCCTCCTCTTCTTCCTCCTCCTTCTCTTTCTTCTCTTCCTCCTCCTCTTCTTCCTCCTTCTCTTCCTCCTCCTTCTCTTCTCTTCCTCCTCCTCCTTCTCCTCCTCCTCCTCTTCCTTCTCCTCCTTCTTCTTCTCTTCCTCCTCTTTCTTCTTCTTCTTCTTCTTCTTCTTCTTCTTCTTCTTCTTCTTCTCCTCCTCCTTCTTCACTTACCCTCGATGTCCCCAACATTTGCCAGACACAAAGAGCATTTATTTTATAGATATTTATTTACACCATGCTTTCAACCCCCCACAAACGATTTGAATCAACAGAGAAGGTACAAGCAGTAAAAATGTGAATTTTAACCACAGAAGGAAACCAAAACTAAAAGAGGAAAGAAGATCATTTTTTTTTTATTGAGCCTCTTAGGCACCTTATCTCCCTCCATCTTTTCCACGACCCTGTTTGTTACAGGTAAGCAAACGGATGCTCATTGCAGGTAAGTGACTTGCCCAAGTTCACACCAGGCTGAGCGGCAGAGCTGAAAGTTACATGCTGAGTTTGGCCCCCAGATCTGAAGGCTATATTAGAACAGATTTGACTGTGAGTTTCCTAGCACCCTAAGGGAAAAGGGAAATTGAACATGTTGCCCAACTGGTCACTAGACAGGGAAAAAGCCAGACACTTCACTGCGGGGAAGCAAAGCCCGTCCTAGCACGGAGTTAACTTTTATCTCCTCCAGAGGGAACTGATGAAAGAGCTGGTGGGGTAGGGTCTGGGGCTCAGCTTGGACTCCAAGAGGAGCGACCCTGCATTTTAGATGTGAGGGGGTTACTGAGGGCATGCTCCCTGTCCCTGGAGAAGGCTCTGCCTTCCCGTGACCATCTTCGTGTGTGTGTGTGTGTGTGTGTGTGTGTGTGTGTGTGTGTGTGTCTTGCTTTTCCTCCCTACCCATCCCCCCCCCTTTCGTCTCTTTGGCCTCTATCCCTCCCTTGTTCACACCCGAAACGGAGAGAGAGCCTGCTGCTTGAAACTCCGTTTTTTTAGGAAGCGCTACGTCAGGGGCCCACGCACAGCCCCTGCGAGGACAGGACTTCCTCCCCACACGGGCTGGGCGGGGCGGGGCGAGCAGCGGGAAGGGGCCTGCTGCGGCCGAGGTGACACATCTCTGCCTGCCGGGCCAGCAGCAGCGGGGCCAGCAGTTCGAGGGGCACCCACGGGCCACGGTTCCCCACGAGGCTTCGGAATGGACCTGTGCCACCCAGGTGAGCACTGGGGACGGCCTCTCTGGGCCTCGGTGTCCTCTCTGTAGAACGGGGACAATGCACCTGTCGGGGTCCCGGCAGGAATGGGTGTGTGAGCAGCGGTAACACAGGTGGGAATGCAGAAGCTCAGCCCGTGGGCCGGGCTCAGGCCCGCTGCCAAGCTGGGCCCCGGGAGCCGGGAACACAGGCACCAGAGCGGGCGTGTCCCTGCCCCCCGGAACTTGCTTTCCACAGGAGAGACAGACAGGAAGTGCACTCGCGTCAGGTAGCAACCAGCGGAATGAGGGACAGGCAAGCAGGAGGAGGAGGATGGATGGGACAGGTATTGGAGAGGCCCCCCGGGCAGACCTGAAGGAGGACGGGACAGATGGTGCACAGGCCCGGAGGGGGGCTGAGAAAGGTGGTCTGCTGGTCGCTGTGAGCCTGTCTGCGTGTACAAAGGCCCTGAGGCCCCCGTTTGGCCTTTGGGAGGTGAAGGTGGCCTTTGGGGAGCAGGGCACCGTGGAGGGGCAGGACCAGGCAGCAGAGGACGGTGGCGGAGACCATCCCCAGGAAGCAGGACCCTGTGTCCGAGGGAAAGAGGAAGGGAGAGGAACGGGCTGCGCGTTTCGCCGGGACGGAGGAGCGGGGCCGATCCCTGCGCCCGCGTCTGGAGTGCCCGGCGCTGCCCGGACGTCCTGAAGGCCAGGGCTGCAGAAGCCGCCCGGGGCCCCAGGCCCAGAGGTGCCACGCTGGCAGCAGCACAACCCTTTCTGCAAGGAAATCCTAACATGAGGCAGCCCCTCGCCCCACAGACAGGGAACCACAGGTCCATTTCAACAGCCCCAGTGACAGAGGGAGCAGAGGAGGCCTGAGCGGGGGACAGGCCTGCGGGTCACTCCCTGCCTCCTGCCTCCCGGCCGGTGGGCTCTCCCCACCTGGCTTTCCCGGGGGCCAGGGAGCAGGGGCTCACGGACAGTCCGGGCTCAGGGAGCACATATTGGTAAGGTGACCAGATGTCCCGCTTTTGGCAGGACAGTCCCGATTTTTAACAATGTGTCCCAAGTCCCGCAGCGTTTTTAAACAGTCTCGATTCTTTCCAAAAATCGGGACTGTTTTAAATGCCGTGGGACGCGGGACAAATGGTTAAAAAGCGGGACTGTCCCGCCAAAAGCGGGACATCTGGTCACCTTAATATTGGGCAAGAGGAGACCAGTGAGGATCGGCGGGCGCCTGACTCAGGGCCACCCGGCGGATGCGAGGGGCGGAAGAGACAGGGGTCCCCCACAGGCCCGTCTTTCCGTCATTATCACTCTGTTCTTTGGGGTCCTCACCTGCGGGGTCCTTAGGAATGGAGAGGTTGTCCCCAGGATGCGAGGGCGGAAAAGGGCTCCCCAGAAGAAGCTGGCGGCCAGTAAGTGGCAGAATAGGGCCAGGCCTCTGAGCGGAGAGAGAGCCCAGGTTCCCTGGGGCTGGTGTGGGGGCGGGGCAGGGAGGCCAGAGGGGGGTCGAGGCTTTGCTTTAGGCCGGCCCAGGAGGAATGGATTCAACGGGGTCTACAGGAGCCGTCTGTTGGAAGATACGAGGTCTTCGTTGATCGCTTCTTCTATTCTCTCATTCATCCTATCCATGGTCCGCCCTGTGCTGTGCAATGCTGGGACGGCAGACCCTGGTCCAGCCCAGGGGAGCGGCTGGTCTGCAATATGGGGGAGAAGGGAACATATCTGCAGGGCAGTGGCCCAGGACAGGTGTGCAAACGGGCTTAGACCTGGTGCGTGGCAAGAAGCCACTCTTTCCACATGAGCAGGGGAGATCTGGGAAGACTTCCTGGAGGAAGCAGAAGGAGAATGGGACAAGCATTCCTCTGTTGCTCAGACTGGGTCTTTTTTTTTTTTTTTAAATATATTTTATTGATTTTTTTTTTACAGAGAGGAAGGGAGAGGGATAGAGTTAGAAACACTGATGAAAGAGAAACATTGATCAGCTGCCTCCTGCATACCCTCTACTGGGGATGTGTCCGCAACCAAGGTACCTGCCCTTGACCGGAATCGAACCTGGGACCTTTCCGTCCCCAGGCCGGCGCTCTATCCACTGAGCCAAACCGGTTAGGGCCAGACAGGGTCTTAATCACCCCACGGCGAGGTGACTACTCCTCTGAGCTCCAATTTGTCACCTAACGTGGCACCATCCTCCTTGCCTGCCCTAAACTAAATGAGGACTTAGAGTCAGCCAGACCTGGCTCAGTCCCAACAGCTCTGTACCAACCCGCCAGGGGCTAGGATGGGCCTCAGTTTTCCCACCTGTACAATGGGCAGGTCAATGGTATAGGTCCCCCAGGGCTGCCGTCCCTCCTCTAGCCATGGGTGTGCGACGTCAGAAGCAGGCCAGGCCCTCTTCCCTGGGGCCTGCCGGGAAGGTGAGGGGCCCAGGCAACGAACCCCAGCATGACCCGTGGCCGTGCCGGGAGGGGGCGGGAGGCAGGTGCAGTTAAAAATGGAGCGGAGGCAGCTCCGTGGTGGGTAGGAAGCCACACGCGGCCGCTGCTCGGTGCTCACACCCGCGGGGCAGGCTGGGGCGGGAGCTCCCCCAGACAGGCCTCGGCCCAGCGGCCCTCCCACCGCCTCTCCGGAGCCCGAGCTGCTGCCGTGGGGCGCAGGACAGCACCTCCGGGTGCCCTGGAAAAGAGGAACCGGGCCCGCTGCCCTGGGAGCAGGGTGCAAGCAGGACGGGTGCTAAAATTACGCTGGGAAAGAGGAAGGACAAAGGGGAAGTGGGGAGGAGCGGGGCAGATGGCCGGGCTGCACCGGCCACAGGCGGCCGCCTGCCAGGGCAGAGGGCAGCCCCGCGCGGGCCGGGTGTGGCCGGTGTCAGGGTGCCTCTGGGAGGTGTGAAAGGCAGAGCCAAGTGCGGAATCAACAGAGCTCTTGGGGATTGTTATTACCATGCTGGGCTTTTCGTGTTTTACTACTGTCTATTGTTATTGTTATTGTTGTTGTTGTTGTTGTTGTTGTTAAAAACCTACCCCTATGAGCCACGCCAGTGCCTGAAACAGGCTTGGAATGAGAAGCAGACCCTCTCTGCCCATGTCCTTCTCACACTCCCTGAGCTCAGAGTCCTCAAGTCTGAAGTGGGGCGGCTGGGGAGAGAAACCCCCACTTTTTAACCAGTAGGTGAAGGTCAGAAGGGCCTACGTACCACGTGGTGGGGCAGCTGTCTGGGGGCTGTCAGACTGTCCTGCGGGGTCCAATGCACGTGGCCGGTTGCCCCCTGCTGGGTAAGGGCCCCAACAGAGGGACAGTGGGGCCAGAGGACCCATGAATCGACCTGTCAGACCACAAAGGAGCCGAAGTGAGAGAGAGGCAAGCAGCCCCAGGCCCCCTGAGCAGCCCACGCTCCCGGGAGAACCGCTTCCATCCCCGCCCGTGCCTCAGTGTCCCCGCTGCATGCTGCTGGCTTTGCTTTATCTCTCACCCTAACGGGACAGGGGCTGGGACTGCAGGCTTTATCTCTCACCCTAACGAGACAGGGGCTGGGACTGCAGACTTTATTATCCTGCATCTGTCTCCAGTCTCAGTCGCGCAGCCAGGGCCGGCATCCCCGAGTCAGAGGGCCCGGTGCGAGCATCTGAGTGGGTTCCGATGGTCTGAGTGTCGCTCTGGCTTCGAATGACTAACACCAGCGTCAAGGCCTGGGTGCGCCAGAGGGACCCGGGTGCGAATCGCGGCCCCACCACCTGCCAGCTGTGTCCCCGGGGGCAGGTCCCGTCCCCCCTCTGAGCCTCAGGCGTCTTGTCTACACAGTGAGATTAGAAACACCTGTGGTATCCTACCGCTGCCGTGTGGATCACACGAGGCAGCGGATGGGAAGAGCCCAGAGCAGCGGTCGGCAATCGGCGGCTCGCGAGCCACATGCGGCTCTTTGGCCCCTTGCGTGTTGTAACGCCACTTCTTCAAAATAGACTCGCCCAGGTCGAAAACAGACTTCGGCGCATGGGCCACGGAGTTTCAATCGCACTGTACGTACGTGTGTGTGTGTGTGTGTGTGTGTGTGTGTGTGTGTGGTGTGTGTGCCCGCACGTGGTATTTTGTGGAAGAGCCACACTCAAGGGGCCAAAGAGCTGCATGTGGCTCGCGAGCCGCGGTTTGCCGACCACCGGCCTAGAGCACACAGGGCCTGGCACATAGTAGGTGCGCAACTAGCACCCCTTTCCTTCACCAGCGGCGTGGCGAGGTTACGGAGCCACACGATCCCAGGCCTGCTGCAGTGAGCGGGAAGGAGGAGCACAGAGGCACCGAGGACCTGGAGAGGAAGGAGAGGCGCTCCTGCAGGGGGGAAGGAGGGTTATTCCAGGCTCGGGGAACAGCACATGCAAAGGCCTGTGGGAAAGAGCACACGAGAGCAAGTGAAGGGCGGCCAGGGAGGCCTCGAGTCCAGGGCCGGGGGCGGGGCACGGAGTGTGGTGAGGTCCGGGCTGCACCAGCAGGACGGCTGGGCCCAGTAAGATTTGGAGTCTTTATCCCCAGGACAAGGGGACGCCACGGGAGCCGGGTTGGAAGGGCAGAGTGGAGGCAGGGGGCCATGGGGAGGCTCTGCATGGGCCAGGCAGGAGCCGGTGGTCGGGTGGGGGGGAGGGAAGGGGAGGGGGCTCTGCAAACAAAGAAGATGGATGGGGCTTGGTGAGAGAGGAGACTGGAGGGTGAGAGGGAGGCGAGGGTCCAAGTGCCTCCTGGGGCCGTGGCCGGGGTGTCTCAGGGACCATCCTGGAGCCCAGGGGACTCAGGAAGAATTGAGGGGAAATTCTAGGACTTTTGTTTTGGTCCAAATGGCAAACAAGAAGACAGCCCGTGCCCAGAGGGGCAGCAGGGTCTGAAACCCAGGGAGCAGCTGGAGCGGAGAGGCTGTGTGTTTGGTTCTTTGGCCCAAGAGAGATGAGGAAAGCGAAGAGACAGTGGGGGAGGAGAAGGCAGCCTCGGCCCGGGTCTCGGGAGCCCATGGCCCCCCTTTGGCCTTCCACCGCGGGGACTGTGCAGGCTGGCCTCTCTCCAGCCTCTTGAGCATCCACGTGGCCTCCCCCAGCAGGGGTACCCCGGCCAGAGCCCTCCTCAAAACCCAGGCCCTCAGCCAACAGGAAAGCAACAGGAAGTAAACAAGCAAAACAAAGAGTCTGATCTGTCACCCGCGGTCAACTAGGGGTGACTGGGGCTTTCCACGACAGCGCTCAGCCCCGCCCCTCCCCCGCTCCCACAGGAGCTCCCCCTGCCACGCCCTTGCTCCTGACTCCACACGGACGGCCCCTGCCTTCCACCCCCACGTGTCCCCACGGCTGCAGAATCCTGAGACACAGTCTTGGGGACCTGCACACCAGGGTTCTGATCCCAGCACTGCCACTTCTTGGCTGTGTGACTTAGGGCAAGTCACTTGGCCTCTCTGAGCCTCGGTGTCTTAAACTAACAAAGACCCACTTTGCAGAGTGGTCAGGATGAAGTGACAAGTTATATGAAGCTACCGGCATGGAGTGGGTGTGTGGGCCGCCTCCCCCACCTCCTGGAAACCAGGAACTCCAGGCCAGCGGAGCTCAGAGTTGCAGACACAGAAAGGAAAACTCCCCAGTGAGTCACTAGGGGGAGGTAGTGGAGCCCCTCCCCCTCCTCCTCCTCCTCCTACTCCTCCTCTTCCTCCTCCTTCTCCTCCTCCTCCCCCTCGTTCCTGGATCTGTGTAGGTTACAGACTGGGGGACAAAGCACCCCTTAGCGGCCACTGGTACAAAGGATAGTGCCCATCCAAGCAGGATATGGTCTCCAGGCCGACACCGCCCCTGCACCTTCAAGAGGCTCATTGCTCAGGCATCTGCCAGGCCAGCACACCCCCAGCAACTGGTGGGGGAACATGGAGAGGACCCATGGCCACAGGCTCCGCCCACACTTCCTTTCCTGTAAAGAGGGTCCCTCGGTCTAATGTGATGTCATGCGGTGTCCTGTGTCGGAGGATCACACCCTCTGGGAGCCCGTGGGTGCCGACTCTGGCCGAAGGTTTGTGGGCAGAAAAGGCCACACACACGCAGAACATGTGTGAATTCTGGTCAGGAGAGATTGCTGGTCTCTGCAGAAGAGAAGGGACCCTGCGTGATCCACTTGCTGCCGAGTTGCCAGTTGGGTTTCTCAGGAAACAGCGGGTTGCTATTGCTCGCAAGCAGGCATGTCAGCAGCCTGGGAAGCCTGGGCGAGTGGGTCTACCCATAGTCCCTGCCCAGGCCACATGGCTACTTCATGCATGTGCCATCGTACCAGCGCTGGGCTGGCCAGAGACTGGCTGATGTCAACTGGCCAAGTCTCACTGTTCCGTGATGGGTGCATGCTGGGAAACATAAGCGTGCCTTATGTCTTCCCACTCTGCGCCCACTCCCGCAGGCCATCGACTTGCCTCTTCCCCCGATGTCTCTGCTCCCAGCCTTCTAATCCTTCTTGTTAGCCTCCGACCAAGCAGGCAAGCTACTCTCCACTGCCCATGACTGCATGTATGCTCTTACTCCCCAACACTTCTCTTTCCGCATGAGGAGGTTGACCAGGTGCCCCGTCCAAAGCCCTGTCCATTGGGAGGACTCCTCACCACTGTCTCCACAACCCCTTGGAGCAGGGCTCTCGTTCAATCGCTGTCCGGTTTGGACTTGTACCCAAACCCCGAGCCACACGTCCTGGAGCCCAGCTCAGGCATCTCCCTCCTTTGTCAGGAGATCACAAGGGACCCGCCCACGCAGCCCTGGTGTGAGCTGAGGGACAAGCCTTGGTGCCGCAGCAGAGGATGGTATGGGGGTCTGGGCCATGCATCCAGGAGGCTGGTTGGAGCCTCCTGGTTCTGCTCATGTGTGCTGCTAGGTGAACCACTTCCAATGAATGGCTATTGGGCTCTCTTGACTTTACGACTTGAAGGGTCAGACCAACCCATCTTGGCTAGTTGGCCAAGGGAATTCTGACCATATACCCCACTTGCCACAGTGCTACAAGACCCTTCCTTCTGCGGACACAGCATCTTCTTCAGTCCATAGATTTTGGGTTTGATAGCTGGCTCAGGTCCAGAAATGAGGCAAGGGGTCTTGACATTTTGTGCTGAGGCTGCCCTATTGGAGGGACATATCCTTAGGTGAAGCAGCTGCATCTGGCTAAGGTAGTTTCCTGGGGAGGGACTCAGCATTGAGTGACCAGCAGGGTGACACGCCCACCCCCACCCCCAGCAGCTGAGCGCATGGGCACCTTGGTCCTGAAGAAAAGAGCTGCATGGCACAGCCGAGCATCCATTATACACATGTTGGACCCTTACCATACGCCAGGTACTTGCTGGGTGTTGAGCAAAATTCAGCTCTTTTCATCCTGACAACCACACTCTAGGTGAGGGTTAGGGTTCGTGATTCCCAGGTCAGGTCACGGCATTGGTTGAGTTTCAGGTTTGACTGCTGTTAGCAAAAGAGACTCGGAATAACAGGAACAGACACATTCCCAGAACTGATTTCCCTCACACTGAAAAGTCCACATGGGTAGCTGCTGGTGAGGTGAATACGGTGACTTTTCTCCCCACGGTTGCCCAGGGCCCAGTCTCCTTCTAGCTTGCTGTCCTGCCATCTCAATACCCAGCTTCCATCTCAAAGTCCAAGATGGCCGCTCCGTCAACAGGAGGGAGAAGTAGGGAAATGGAGGACTTGATATTCTCTGCATTCGTATCTGTCCTTGTAAAACCGTTAAGAAACGTGAGCAGGCACTTCCCAAAGCTGGGCCCTGACAGTCAGGAAGGGTTTGGAGAGGCAAACAGGACAAGGCATGCGGTGGAGGAACTGCATCGGCAAAGGCCGAGGAGTAAGACAGAGAGTTAGACAGCACAGGGCAGTGAGGAGCTGGCAGGCCAGACTGCCAGGCTGTGGTTGAGAATGGTGGGGAGAAGGCTGGCTGGAGAGGCCAGGGAGACTGGGGAGGACCAGGATGAGGGCTTTTCCTTCCAGTAATGGGGAGTCTACACTGAGTGGCCAGATTATTATGATCTCTGAACGCTTAATAATCTGGCCACTCAGTGTATATCCTATATAATAAAAGGCTAATATGCAAGTTGTCCCCTCAATCAAGATTTCAACCAGCAGGCAGGCCAGCCAACTGCCCATGTCCCCTCCCCCTGGCCAGGCTGGACAGACCCCACCCATGCACAAATTTATGCACCAGGGTATATATATACTGAGTAGCCAGATTATTATGTATTAAAGATCATAATAATCTGGCCACTCAGAGTATGAAGATTTTGACCAGGAGAGTGTTGTGGATGGAACAGGAAGCACCACTGGGGAGTAGAAGCAAGCCAGCTGACCCGGGTATGGGAGTCATCCCAGCACCCTGCACAGAATTCTCGCCAACACACACTCCTCTCCTTTAATTCATTTCCAGATGAAGTGGGAAAAGCTTGGGAGTCATCCCAATCAATCCAAGGTCAGCCCTGGCTCAGCCTTTCACCCCTTAGGCCCTTAGCCAGGTCAGCTCACTGCTCTGAGCTTCAGATGTCCCCCAAAATCCAGTCGCCACACCTCATATAGTAAGGACCATCCTATTACAGGCTCATTTCCCAGCCTCCCTTGCAGCTATGCATGGCCATGTGACTACATCTGGCCAATAGGGTATGAAGCAAAATGATACACCACTTCCTGGTTGTGCAAATAAATAAGCGAATAAATGAGAGGCATGTGGTTTACTAAAAGAGTAAACCGGTTTGGCTCAGTGGATAGAGCGTCGGCCTGTGGACTAAAAGGTTCCAGGTTCGATTCCAGTCAAGGGCATGTACCTTGATTGCGGGCACATCCCCAATGGGGAGTGTGCAGGAGGCAGCTGATTGATGTTTCTCTCTCATCAATGTTTCTAACTCTCTATCCCTCTCTCTTTCTCTCTGTAAAAAATCAATAATATATATATATATATATATATATATATATATATATATATATATATATATATTTTTTTTTTTTTTTAAGAGTAAACTAACGTTCCAGGGAAAAAGGAATGGCTTCCGATGGTATTTTGTTGAGTACCCGCATATCTGGCTCTTCCTAGCTGCTGAGGATGCTCAGTGAACAAAATAATGAGTGTAACGAATGCAGTAGAAAACATGCGAGTACATGAGATAACTTCAGGGCACCTGTAGGAGGGGGGGGTAGAAGGAACAGGAAGCTGGGTCAGAGGGGAAGGTAGGGGAGGGGCTGACTTGGACAGAGTGGTCAGGGAAGGCCTCTCGGAGGTGGTGACATCAGAGCCCAGGCTTGCGTGAAAGAGGCTAGCAGGTCATGGGTTTCCGGAGGGCTGAGGGCCCTGAGAGCTCCCTGGAGTGGCTGGAGCTGAGTGACGGGGGAGGGCAGTGAGTGGGGCAGTGACCACAGGGCCTTCTCTCTCCAGACCCAGCAGAGCTGAGCAGTGGGGAGGCCGAGGAGCTGCAGCGAATCAGATGGCACCGGAAGCAGCTTCTGGACGACATCCAGGTGAGTGCGCGCTCACAAATGAACACATGAGCCACACACATGCACACTGACACACCCTCAGGCCCTGCTATGCGTGGAGCCTGGGGGGTTCAGCCAGTGCTGGTCCCCATCCTGAGCCTCCGCTTCACCCCCTCCTAACACGGGCATCTTAGGTCAACATAGTACCAGTCCGTGCCCGGCACTTGCCAAGTCCCCAGTTTTCCAAATGTTAGCACGCATGGTTCCCAGCAGCCTCTGAGGCAGACTCTGGCTCTGCTCCTAGAATATGCTAAGCCCCGTGCTGCTCCAGGGCCTTTGCACGCACAGTCCCTTCTGCCCGCACAGTCCCCTCTGCCCGGGACTCTCCCAAGCTCTCATCGTGCCTCCTCCTTGTTACTTTACTCTCGGCTCATGTGCCGTCTCCTCTTAGCAGCTACCCCCCCCCCCCCCCCCGAACACATATCTACCTAATGCTGCAGGGCAGAAGGAAGGCACAGAAGGAAGGTGCACTCAGCAGGTGTTTTACTGAGCACCTACCCTGTGCCAGGCATTTCCTGTATGACTGTGACCATTACCTGCACAGTCATTTCATTCCCCTAGACCATCGTGATCCCAACCTCACTAACTGAGCTCTGTGTAAGTGGAGCCTGGGTCCATCTTGCCCATCCCTGTATTTGCAGCCCAATTATAGCCAGAACATAGTGGGTGCTCAGTTAATACTTGTGAGTGAGCCTCCTTCCCCCCCACCCCTTGTTTGTGGGGAAGCCATTCAGTGACTCAACTGAGATCACGTGGACAGGAGCTGACTGGGCACAGATATGGGCTCCAGGCCCCATGCTGTCCTGGGGACCCAGAACAAGCTCCTGGGGCCACCCCATCCCACAGATCTCAGGGAAAGGGGGAAGGGGGGCTGGTGCCTTTTAGGGGCTCATGCTGCTACCCTGCAGGGGAATGTTGGACAAGCTGCCACCTGTCCCTGTCTGCCCAGGGGTGGCAGTTGGCAGAGGCAGGGGTTCTCCGCTGACACTGTAGCCCCCTGCAGGGCCAAGACAGAACATGCCGGGGCGGGGGGGGGGGGGGGAGGACCTGGGAAAGCAGAGGCTGAGTCAGACCTTAGTTGACCTGTCACCCCACCTCTCTACACAATGTCCTCTCTGCGAGCCCCATGGGGATGGCAAAGCCCTGAGAAGAGGGCCAGCGCTGTCTGGTGCCTGGTGCACCCACAGTCCCTGGCACACAGCGGGCACCAGGCCAGGGACAAGTGGCAGAGGAAGGAGATGGAGGAAAGTTGGAGAGGAGCTGGGTCCCTCCCAGGCGGGAATCTGTGCCTTCTGCCTGGGGACGGGGGCAGTGGGAGTCACGGAAGGAGTTTGAGCAGGGGCAGGGCAGGCACCTGTCTGCTACAGAGAGATGGCAGCCGGGTGGAGGAGGGCTGGCCGGTGGGCGTGGCCAGAGGGCAGGGGACTACAGCTGCAGAGAGATGGGAAGGTGGAAATATGATGGGGACTTGGGGACTGCACCCCCACGTCAGGAGATGGTGGGAGAAAGAGTGCAGACGGAAGCTGTTAGGTTGGGGACTTTGAGGACAGGAGACATCGGGGGGATGGTCTGTCAGGAGGGAGCAATGTGGGGGTCACACTGGGTGGGAGTGGGAGTGGGGGGGAGAGTTGTGAAAGCCCTCTATCCTGGCTTCCACCCCCTGACTCTCCCTCCCTGTCCTGCCCCTCTCCCCTCTCCCCGACACCTGCAGAAGCTGAAGGATGAGATCGAAGATGTGTTTGCCCAAATCGACTGCTTCGAGATAACAGAGGAGAGGTGAGGTGTCGGCCAGGGGACCCCGGACGTTGTCGTGGCGTCGTCCTAAGGATGTCACACACCATGATGAGCTGCCATGCCTGTCTGGGCCCTGGGGAAGTGAGGGACGGGGCCCTGGAGGAGGAGGAGGAGGAGGAGGAGGAGGAGGAGGAGGAGGAGGAGGAGAAAGAGGAGGAGGAAGAGGAGGAGGGAGGAAGAGGAGGAAGAGGAGGAAGAGGAGGAGGAGGAAGAGGAGGAAGAGGAGGGGGGGAGGAAGAGGAGGAAGAAAAGGAGAAAGAGGAGGAGGAGGAGGAGGAGGAGGAGGAAGAGGCAGGACAGTGAGACAGGAGCAGGGCTGGCTGGTCCCTGCTTCCAGGCACCTCCCTCTCTTGAGAGACAAGCCCATCCTCCCACCCTCTCAAGTCTCTTCCGACCTGCCCTGACCTACCCCTTGACCAATCACCGCCCAGGAGCATCCTGGGATGGACAGGAAAGCCAGGGCCTCAGGGGGAGGAGCCTGTGGCAGGTCAGGGGTTGGTCCACTCCACTCCACCCTCAGGGTGTGGGTCACCTGCCCCCTCCCCACCGCTATGGGAAGCCTTCTATGGCTGTCACCTGGGGCTGGCCCCTCCCCTCTCTGGGCCTCAGTTTCCCCACTTGTGAGGTGAGAAGGTTGATCCTGCCATAATCCCATAAGGCCCCCGTGTCCCAGGAAATCCCCACCTGCCCCTGCCACCCCTTGTCTCTCTGCCGCCTCTATCTGCACTGTCTAGCCCCACACACATGCACACAGACACTGCCATGCACACCCACGCCACCTGTCTCTAGGTTCCCTGCTCAGGGCTCAGGCCCCAACAATAACACAGGCCATTTCCAGAGCCCCGACCACCAGCTGCTCCAGCAGTGCTGGGAGCAGGTGTGGTGCTGCCCCATTTTACAGATGAGGAAACTGAGGTCCAGAGAGATGAGTGCCTCTCCCTAAGTGGCTGGCCAGCCAGGGGTGGGGCCGATTTGAGGCTGGCTCCACCTGCGCTCTCACCCCCGCCCCCCTCTGCCTCCCTGTCATCCTGACCGCACCCCAGCACGGGCCCCTCAGCTCCTCCCCAGAACTGGGTTCTCAAGGCCATGGCGCTGGGCCCAGTGGAGGAGGCTGCTGTGGCGGCTCCGGGAGGGCCAGACCCTGCATTTCTCACGCTCACAGGCCTGCCACCCCCCCGCCGGCCCCCCTCCCCTCCGCCACCTTGAGGCCCCTCGGGAGCACGGGCTCTAGCTGAGGGGACGGGAGTCCTCGAGGTGTCTGAGGGCCCTTGGAGACTGGAGGGGGGTGTCCTGGGTCTTGGGACAGCCACCTGACCCCTCTGTGTCCACAGCCGGATGGCCCAAAAGGAGAAGGAGCTGTGCATCGGGCGCAAGAAGTTCAACATGGACCCTGTGAAGGTAGGCGGCCGGAGGGGCTCGACTCCTGGGGCCAACATTCATAATGCCGCCTTGCTCCCCTCTGCTGACACAATGACCCGTCCTACAGATGAGGAGACTGAGGCCAGCAGGGCTCAGCCTGCTGTCCAGGCACGGCTGGGGGCTCTGTCACTGGGCACAGCAGCCCAGGCATGCGGTGGGAGCCAGGCGGTGGGGGTCTGTGATGGCATGGACCTGGGCTCCCTGGGTACTAGGCCTGTGTCCTCCTCTGTGGGGAGGGCATCAGACAGGGAGACCCTTAGATTCTGGGCTCAGACACGGGGCGGGGAGCCAGATCCAGGTGCAGGCGCAGAGCACTGCAGGGCGCAGCTACCCTCTCCCCTCCCCCACCTGGCCTTTGGCCTGCCCAGGGCTGTGGCTCCTTTCCTGTGGGAGCACAGACGGGAGGAAGCGCGCCTGACCCAGGATGGAGGGGTCAGGGCAGCCAGGAGGCCTGGAAACTTACCGCTCCGGCTGCAAAGGCTGCCTCCCCTCCCAGTCACAGGCCCACAGCACCACCCACCCACCCCCTCCCAAGCCCCCCACATTGGCCCCGTCTGCCCCATACCAGGGACCACACACACACACACACCACACACACACTCATATGCCACCAGAGCACTGAGAAGGGCCACTCAGGGGCCCCCAGGACCCTCTGCCTGGCATTCAGAGCCCCCCCACTCACTGCCCCCATCTTCCAGAAACCTTTCACCAAAAGGAGCATGAAGGAACCACAGAAAACCAGGGGGCAAACTCCCCAGTTCCTGAAATGAGGATGATAGACTCCGAGGGCCTGATCAGAAATGGCGCGGAAGGCGGGACACGCTCCCACTCCGTCTAGAAAGGGCGGGAAGCCACCGCCACGGTGACTGTCTGCCTCCGAGCGGCAGGACTTGGGCAGCTTCTTCTTGGATGTTGTGTTTTCCTAATTCTTATACAATGGACATCGATGACTTGCAAGAAAACACGTGAAACACTGTTCAAATAATGTGAACTTTTAGGGGACAAAAGGAATGGCAGAATCATTGAATCTTAAAATTTTAAGTCAATGGAATCACTGAAGCTTATAGTCAGACTGAGGGGAGCCTGGGGAGCACCTGGCATGAACCTGGTGCGTGGCAGACACCCCGTCTCTCCTTGCATGCCTCCAGGGATGGGGAGCTCACCACCTTACAAAGGCAGCTTCTGTTAAGGAGGGACACAGCGTCCCAGAACAGGCTGTGCCAGGGCCAGACTGCCAGGCCAGGGCGTGGGCCGCGGGGATCCCCCCTCCTCCCGGGCTGGCTGCTCATGCCCGTGTGCCGCTTCCAGGGCATCCAGTACCTCACTGAGCACAAGCTGCTGACCTCCAGCGCCCAGGACATCGCCCAGTTCCTGTACAAGGGCGAGGGTCTCAACAAGACGGCCATCGGTACCTACCTGGGGGAGAGGTAAGGGGCGGGGCCTTAGGGAGGCAGGGAACGGGGGTGTGCAGGTGTGTGCCCGCAGGTTAGTGTACATGTGTATGTGCAGTGAGTGAGGAAGTGAATTATGTCAGGAAAGTGGTAATGCCTGCAGCTCAAGGAGGCTGTCCCTTCCCCCCAGATTCTGACCCCAAGCCTGCTTTCCTTCCCTTCTTCCTTCTCTCTCTTTCCTTCCTTCCTCCCTTCCTTCCTTCCTTCCTTCCTTCCTTCCTTCCTTCCTTCCTTCCTTCTTTCCCTCCTTCTTTCCTTCCTTCCTTCCTTCCTTCCTCCAACAAGTAGACATTAGTTAGTATCTATCCTTTGCCAGGTACTGTTCTAAGCCCCGGATTTACACCAGTGATCAAGACAGACAAAACTCCTGCCCTCGGGAAGGACAGATTCCAATGAGGAAGACAGATTCCCAACTATGTAAAGCCTGTTAGAAAACTGTAAATTCTTTGGAATCCAAATAAAGCAGGGACGGGAGGGGAGAGGGGCTAGGGACCACAGGGCCAGGGCTGTGACTCTGGCGTGGACAGGAATGTCCCGTGGAGAGGTGAAGTTCGGCTGAAGCTTCAAGGGGGAGAGGAGGGTAGACATCTAGGGGAAGAGCATTCCGGGCAGAGGGAGCAACATGTGCAAAGGCCCTGGGGCAGAAGCATGCACAAGGAAAGGCTGGTTGGTGAGACTGGAAGAGAGCAAAGGGAGGAGGGAGGATGTAGTAGGTGACAAATGGGGGTCCCCAGGAGGATCTGGGCAGAGGAGTGTCTGAGAGGACCCCTTTGGCTGCTGGGTTGGGGGGCTGGGCCAACAGGCCGGCCACTCTCCTGGCAGGCTCCCCAGGGGACCCATTCTCCTGAGTGAGCGGGGAACACAGCTGGCAAGCCGGGCAGCACCCCTGGCCTGAGAGCGGGAAGAGGGTCGATTGTACAGATAGGACACTGGGGCTGGGAGAGATCAAGTGGCCTGAGTGGTGTCGCTAGGCAGGCAGTGACCGAGGGAGGGTCTGACTCAGGGAAGGCCCCTCCAAAGCCAGACTCACATCCCCAGCGAGAGCAGCGGCGGTGAGCTGTGGGCGTGGGAGGGGGTCTGTTCAGGTGTGGGAGGGCACGGCGTGCCGGGGGAGGGGGGTGATGTGGGGTCAGGTGTGAGCAGGCCAGTTAGAGGCTGGACCTAGAAGGAGGACATCTGTCCCCTCTTGTCCCTCCTCCACCTCCACCCCCCCCCTCAGGTGGAACGTACCAGAATGTTCCCCAGTGCATCCCACTCTCCCTTCCGCCCCCTCCCCAGGGACCCCATCAACCTGCAGGTCCTCCAGGCCTTTGTGGACTGCCACGAGTTCTCCAACCTCAACCTCGTCCAGGCCCTCAGGTGAGTGGTCCAGGGCCCGCCCTGGATGGTGGCACAGCCAGGGTGGGGGCTGCTGGGGGCATCAGGGGCCACATGGCTAATAGCACCCAGTGTGAGGAGCCAGAATGAACGGCAGGCATGCCCGCCCCGTGCAGCTGAGGCTGGTGACACAGTTGGCGTGGACCACCTGGACTGGCAGCACCTGGCTTGTGTCTGCTGCTGCTGGCATTATTGTACTACAACATTACTATAATAACATTTAATCATTGTGATCGTTATTGCGATCATTACTGCCATTCCCACTACATACTTTTCAGAATGGTGCTTGTTTTGTTTATTTTGTTAATACAGCTTAGCATGTACTATGTTATTATTTATTATCCTATATAATGAAAAACTAATATGCAAATTATCCCCTCGACTGGGAGTTCGACTAACCAATGGCGGCCCCTTTCCCTGGCCCACCCCGCCCGACTCCCAACCACCCACACACACCCAGATGAGGGGGGGGGGGGGTCAGACAACCAACCGCCTGCGGCCCCTCGGCCCAGCCATCCAGCTTGACCAGCCCAATCCGGACAGGCCAGCGGACCCCAACTGTGCACGAATTTGTGTACCAGGCCTCTAGTTTTCTAATAGAATATTATTTTATTTTTACAACGACAGAGGCATTGTAGTATATCTGCTAGGAGCACAAACTCTGGAGCCAGACTGCCCAGTTCATATCTCAGTTCTGCCACTCTCCCCCTGTGTGGCTTTGGTCAAGTCCCCAAAAACCTCGCTGTGCCTGTTTCTTCATCTGTAAAATGGGGATAATAATAGCACCAGCCTCATACAGTTGTGAGAACTACATGAGAAAGTGCTCAGAATTGGGCCCACAGTACGTGTTTAGGAAATCTTAGAACATTAGCTCCCCAAAGGGGGCATTTGAGCTGGGCGTTAAAGGATGAATAGGAGTTTTCAAGGCAGAGAAGGAAGAAGCCACCACTGTCCAGGCAGTCTGGCTTCCCTCTCCCTGCCATGCTCTCTGAGAGAGAGGGCTCCTTTCCAATGTTCACTCGCTTCCTCGTCACTCATTCACCAAGCCTTGTGGGGCAGGTCCTGGGTGCAGGGGGCTGGCCCAGGGCCCACAGTCAGATCGTAGTACCTGACGGCCAGGCAGGCAGAGCTCAGAACCGGACAGGCAGAGGGTCCGTGCCTGCTGAGGTGTGAGGACTCAGACGGGCAGAGGGCAGCACAAGCTCAGCTCTGCGTTCTGGGAGGGAGAGTCAAGGCATTTCTCGGAAACGTCCTGTGTGCTGGTGCTTGCGGAGCGTAGCTGACATTTGCAGGATAAAGAGGCTGAGCCTGGGAGAGGCAGAGCGGCTAGTGCAGGGTCCCCCGAGAGCCCGCACCCAGCCTGCTGCCCACAGCCCTGCTCCTCCCCCAGGCAGTTCCTCTGGAGCTTCCGGCTGCCGGGCGAGGCCCAGAAGATCGACCGGATGATGGAGACGTTCGCCACGCGCTACTGCCTCTGCAACCCGGGCGTCTTCCAGTCCACAGGTGCCCGTGTGGGGGGACCTGGGGCCCCAGAACCCCTTAAGCATCGCCGGGCACAGATCTCCCTCCCCAAGCACCATGCCTGCCCCAGCCCTGCTGGTCTCTCCCAAGTACCCAGACCCTGGGAGCCCAGTCATTCCAAGCCCTCGCTGAGCATCAGCTCTGTGCCAGCCCCTCTGTGGGGCGCTTGTTGGGCAGAGCTGCCTCTGGGCATGCTCCTTGGGGGAGGAGGCAGGAAACGGGGCACAGGGTGCTAGGGCAGCAGCACACCCGTCTGAGGACAGGGCCTGAGGAGTCCGAATGTCCAGGATGGCTTCCCAGAGGCAGTGGGGTCTGAATGGGGTTTTGAAGGGTGAATAGGAGTTCTCCAGAAAGTCCAGGGGATAAAGGGTGTTTTGAGCAGGAGTTTTGGTTCAAGCAGAGGTCCTGGGCAGGACATAGGTGGACTTCCCTGGCTCTGGACACACGCCACAGAGCAGCAGTCACCTCCCTCCCACGTGCTCCGCCCAGCACACAGCCTCGCTGCCTCGCCCGTGAATATCTGGATCTGAGAACGGGAGCCCCCGATGCAGCCAGATGCCCAAGCAGCACTGGCTAAGCCCTGAGCAGTGCTGCCAACACTAAGTGCCCTCTGAGACCCAGGGCGGGAGGGGGGGGGGGACAGAATGGGCAGAGGGGCTGGCAGGCTCGGTGGGAGGAACGCTGGAGCTGAGAGGAGGACTCACCTGATAGAAAGGGGGAGGGGAGGGGAGAGCACACCTGGCAGGGGCCCCACAAGAGCGAAAGCGCAGGGTGGGAAGGCACCGCGGGCGCCTGGCCGTGACCGCGGGAGTGGCTTTGGAGCAGGGAGACCAGCAGGAGTGGAAGGTGAGCCCGGGGCCTCGGATGCCAAGCCGGGAGGATGCGGGGCCCTGGGCCCTGCAGAGGCTGACCTGGACACCTAGGAGGAGTTGGGGCAGAGGAGGGGAGACAGCCAGGGCCGGGACTCTGACCCGCCGTCCCGGCCCGCAGACACCTGCTACGTCCTGTCCTTCTCCATCATCATGCTCAACACCAGCCTGCACAACCCCAACGTCCGGGACAAGCCGCCCTTCGAGCGCTTCGTGTCCATGAACCGCGGCATCAACGGCGGCAGCGACCTGCCCGAGGACCAGCTGCGGGTAAGGGGGCGGGGCCTCACCGCCCGGGCACTGACGGCCGGACGGCCGAGGGGGCTCCTCTGAGATGAACCATGGGGTTGGCGACTGTCTGGGCCCCCACAGGAGGCTGGTCCTGGGTGCCCCTCCCCCGTAGCCCTGAGCCTAAGAAGGGAGGACGGAGAAGGACCCCTCAGGAGGTCCTGCCAGGCCTCCAGCTTTGAGGGACTCTGGCACCCATCACTCACACCTTCCAGAAAGGGTTCCTGTCTATTTCTTGGAATCCCAGACTCTCAGGTTCTTAGTGCGTCAGAGCTGAAAACCCTCACGCTCACCCCCGCTTCCGAAGGGAGGAAGCTGAGGTCTCCCGCCGGCCGCACGGCAGCTCCAGAGCTGAGCAGAACCCAGGGCTCCGTCTCCTCGCCACACAGCACCCACCCTGCCACCCTGCACTCAGCCCGTGAGGTGCAGCCCTGGTGACTCCTGCTGTGCTCATCATGGGAACACGGCCATGGAGACACAGAGCACACTACCGCCCTCTCCTGGGGGCAGGGGCCGGGTGTCCTCCTGGAAGGCTCCGCGGAGGAGGTGACTTTTGAACAGGGCCTTGCAGATGGAACAGGCGTTTCCCGGGAGGAGAAGCAGAGAAAGGTCACTTCCGAAGGAGGACGTGGCCAGCACCCAGGCCTGGCCTGGTTGGGGCAGGGAGGGGGGTCCAGATTGGCAGGCTGGGGTGTGGGTGCCTATGGATAGTGATGGGTGGCAAGGTGGGGCCAGAGGATCCAGGTCTTTGTGAATGGCCTCCTCGGGAGCTGGCCTGCTTGCTATGGGCAGCGGGAAGTTGGGAGCAGGTCTGCAAACACTGGCGTGAGATTCAGAGCCTGGCTCAGCACAGATGGATGGACAACTCCTTTCTAGGACTGGATGTGCCCAGAGCTCCATAGAGCTCCAGTCCCCTCCAGGCCAGAGCCCAGCCAGGGGGAGGGAAGGGAAAGTGTGAAGCCAGCTCCCAGCCTAGCACCTCGGACCTCCTGCGGAAGCTGGGAAGCCTGGGTCCGGAATGGCGCCCCTCCTTGTCTGAGAAGGGCCATTCGCCCCCCACCCTTCTCTGTCCCAGAAGAGAAAACTGATGGTGGTGGGAGCCCTGGTCAAACCTCCCCTCCCCCACCCGCCTGCCTCCTGCCGTGTGACCTTGGGAATGACTCAGCCTCTCCCAGCCGCCAGGCCCTCAAACAGCAAACAGCGGGGATAATGGCGCTGTGTCACCGAGCTGCTCTGAGGGCCGGCGCCTTAAATGCGAAGGGCACAGCCAGCGCAGGCTCCAAATGGCGGCTCATGCCACTCGTAAGAAGAATGGGCAATAATGTTAATGTCCGGCACTTAGTAAAATGCCTCAAACATAAAAGGCACTTGAGAACTGTTGACTCATCCCATCACTGGCAGGCACTCCCGGCAGGAAGCTGGGCACGGCGGCCGGCAGTGAGTGGGTTAATGACAAGCCCGTCCCGCCCATCTTGAGGGGGGAGGGAGCCACATGGTAGCGTCAGCCCCCAGGGAGCCTTCCCAGCACCCCCCTCGGGATCTGTCCTCAGTGTTGATGATCACAATGGGCGGCATTTGTAGAGCATGTAACTTCCTCCTGGCTGGGCTTGCTGGTCTGTTACCTCAGTTTCCCTCAGACTCCGCCTGGGAGGTGTGGGAAGGGCTCACCTCCCCCTTGGCCGCTGAGAGAGGTCAGTCCACACCCAAGTTCTGGTCCCCATGTCCCTGACATTAGGGAAGTGGCCCCAGCTCACAGGGTCAGTGTAGGCAGGTCAGGTACTGAGCAAATACCCAGGGCACACACAGCCCACACAGCCCGGTCCTTGCTCTCCAAGGCTCCACAGGTGGCTGCTGGGGATGGCCAGGGAGGAGGGGGAGGGTGGAGTGGGGTGTCTACTCGCCTTCTCTCTGGGCCTCCTCTTCCTCGTATGTAGAGCCAGGCCTCAGCTTTAAGCTCCTCCGGATATGCCAAGTTGGACCCTTTTGAAAGGATTCCTCCTGACGCTATTCCAGCCCGGCCCTGCCGAGGACCCGTAGTGCTTTGAAGAAAGCCTGTGCAGGAGTTAAACTGCTGCAGGTGCATCCCTAAAGAGAGGCCAGCCGAGGGCGTGCGGACCGTGAGGGTGCGGCGCAGCTGGGAAAGGCTTGGGGGGGAGGGGGCGTAAGGGAGGGGGGCAGTTGAGGGTCAGGTGGGTCTTCCCCGGCCCTCATGATGGGACAGGGCACAATACCTAAGAGACTCGGGGCAAAGGTACGGGGTGTGGACTCGGGGTGGAAGATCAGATCCCAGCGCTGCCTGAATGGCTGCATGACCTTGCGTCTGGGCCTCAGTTTCCTCACCTACAAAGTGGGCTGATGGCACTGATCTCACATCATTCTCCTAGATTCTAGGACCTAGGAGCAGAGTTAATGCACTTTGAGCCCCTGGCCCTTGGCGGGTGCTGGAGAGATGAGAGAGGAACCAACCCCCAGAGGGGGAGTGAGGGTGGGAGAGGAGGAGGAGGAGAGTTACAGGTGGGGAAACTGAGGCCGGGCAGGGGAACAGCCTCCCAGGTCAGGGCATCTCTCCTGTGGAGTCCAAGTGGCTCCATCAGAACGGACGTGTCTGAGCCCAGTTCCAGGGACTCCACTAGGTTCCCATTAAGTCTCTGGCCACCCCAGGACTCCGACCCGCTGTCCCAGCCGGCAGAAACCGTCCCCAGTTTACAGGGGAGGAAACTGCGCTTCGGGAGGGGTAGCTGGTCAGGGAGGGGCTTCATAGTTTGTGAGCAGTTCAGATTCGAACCCGTGTCTGTCTGACCCCAGAGGCCTTCCCTCTGCAGGGACCAGGGGCACGACGTAGGGACAGAGGACTTGGCTGTGTGTCCCTGCTGACAGTCACTTCCTGGCTAGGGGAACCTCAGCTCGTGTAGCAGAAAAGATCAGGCATCCATTTGTCTTCAGATCAGTCGGCTTCAGGCTTGGCTCGATCCAGGTGCTCAGAGAGGTCAGGGCTCGGTCCTGCCTCTTGTGCTGTCCATCACCCTCCTCCATGCCAGCTTCCCTCTCAAATGGGCCCTCCCCAGGCTGTGGCCGGGATGGCTGGGCAGCTTCGGGCTCCCATTTTTGCCTACCAGTTTAAACTAAAGTCCCAGAATTCAGGCTGATTGGCTGGCTTACGTCACCTGTCCCTCCCTGATCCAGTCACTGAGACCAGCAGGACAGCTGCTCTGATGAGCCAGAAGGGACCAGTTCACACCCGGCCCTGGAGCCTGGGGTGGGGCAGCGGGTGTCAATACCCCTGGGCAATCTGGACAGAAAGTGTGTTTGGGGTGGGGTGGGTCCCCAGAGGGACCCAGGGCGTGGAAAGGGACAGATGCCTGTGTCTGATTGCAGCCGAAGTCAGCCTGGCCAGCGGTTGGTGGTGGCAGGAGCAGGGCTGTTGGGTTGGGGGGTGGGAGGCTGGTGTTTGGAAGGTACAGGAAATGTGGGGCGCTGAGCGGTTTTCCTTGAGGGGGCAGAATGCTGCCCGCAGAAGCTGCCAGGGCCCCCGCGGGGTGTCGGGAGGCTCCCCAGCCTGCCTCCTCCGGCTTCCAAATATTTGTCTGTGCTGACAGCTCCGCTGACAAGGCCTTCCTGTGCAGCCCTTGTTTAACCAGCCGGAGCCTCCCGGGAGCTCCTGGGCCAGGCTGGGAGAGGCAGCGGCCTTCGCAGCTGCTCTGGGGGCTTCAGGGGCTCCAAACAGAGCCAGGGCCCTCCCTTCCCCACCCCACCCCACCCCCATTCCCCAACCCCCAGCCAGGCTGCGCCCAGGGACTGTCAAGCCCAAGAAAACCTGCTTCCGGCTGTGCCTCCCCCAGATCAGGTCAGAAAGACCTTTCCTGAGCAAACACCATTTCTAAAACTTTGGGGGAATCAAAGCAGCACTTGTTAGATTTTTCATTTACAATGTGGAGGCAGCCATCTGAGCAGCGGCGCGCACCAGCGCGGCAGAAGGAGAGATTTAATTATCCTGCGATGGAGAGCCAGCACTGCGTCTGGTTTCCATAAGCAGAAATCAACAGCTCGGGCTGTTTTCCCAAACGCTGGGGAGTCTGGGCGGGCTATTGCCAAACGGAGGCCCAGAGAGTCCAAAACACAAGGGTGACCCATCACCGACACCCACACTCGCTGAAGGAGGTGTGAGCCCAGCGTGCACCTCCAGGGACAGGCGCCTGTCCCCTCTCAGGCTGCTCCTGCCGTGTTTCAGCAGCTCTGACTGTAGGAAGCCCTCCACAGAGACCTGAATTCTGCTTTCTGAACACACCCCCACCCCCCACCCCCAACAATCAGAGCCCACCCAGCACAGGTCCTTTGCCTGTGAGAGCCAAGCTCAGCATTTCACTTGAGTGTCTCCTTTAGCTGGACCAGCCCAAATTCCCCGGGGCTCCTCTGTGTTCCCCCACCGGCTGCACCCAGAAGTCCCTGCTGCTGCGCCTGAGCAGGGGGGACTGCCCACGGAGGCGCTGCCCTTGGCTGCTATGCCCAGAGTGTGCAGCCATGTGGTCTGTGTCTGTATCTGTCTGCGTTTCTGTGTATGTGTGTGTGTATCTATGTGTGTTTCTGTGTCTATTTGTGTGTCTTTCTATGTGTGTTTCTATGTGTGTATGTTTCTGTGTGTGTTTCTTTGTGTATGTGTTTCTCTGTGTGTCTGTATGTGTCTGTGTTTCTATGTGTGCATGTATTTATGTGTCTGTTTCTATGTGTGTGTGTATTTTTATGTGTCTGGGTTCCTATGTGTGTGTTTCTGTGTCTGTTTCTATTTGTGTGTGTATTTTTATGTGTCTGGGTTCCTATGTGTGTGTTTCTGTGTCTGTTTCTGTGTGTGTGTTTCTATGTGTGTGTGTGTGTGTGTGTGTATGCAAAACATGCATGCACAGGTGAATGTGTGGGTGGGTGTACAATCCCAGCCACTGAGTGTCCTTGTCTCACCACGTCGCCGGGGGATGGTCTTGGGCTTCTCACCTGCCCTGTGAGCACTTGGCGGGGGGCGTGCAGGCAGGGGCTGTGCTCCTCCCGCCTCGTCACCGTCCATGACGCGGAGAGGGGCTCCGACCTGTGTGGTCCACTTACCGCCCCCAGAGCCCGGCCAGGCAGCCTGTTCTCTCGTTTGTTGGTAAGGACACGGCAGCTCAGAGAGGCTGAGGGACATGCCCAGGGTCACACAACCATTGAGGGACCGGCTGGGATGTTAACCCAGATGGCCCAGTGCTCCTGTCCCACCTGCCTTCATGCCGCTGGCTGGAGTTCCGGGCGGGGGGTGGGGAGGGTGGGAGTGAGGGTGGGGAGCAGCATCCGTTCAGTCAGCAAACAGTTGCCAGCCTGCTTTAGGCCAGGCCCTGGGGAAGCTCGGGGTGTGACAGCCAGGCCTGCCCTGGAGGAGCCCCCTAGGAAGCTGGAATACGGACAGCGGGGGGCCACATGTGCAGCCGTCCGCCCAGTACCTGAGGCGCTGACCTCCTCTCGCCCTGTGCAGGGGGAGGCAGGACATGGGGGTGGGGCGGGGAGCACCAGGGTCTGGGGGAACCAGGGAGAGTTTTCCCAAGGAGGCCAGGGACCCCCGGTGAGCCAGCAGGAGAGGAGAGTTTGCCTCAAGGTCCAGTGACCTGCCCGAGGCCACACAGGCCAGGCCCAGCCTGGGCGGGCGTCACAGCCTTTCCCTCCCTTCTCTCGGGCCAGAACCTCTTCGACAGCATCAAGAGCGAGCCCTTCTCCATCCCTGAGGACGACGGCAACGACCTCACCCACACTTTCTTCAACCCCGACCGCGAGGGCTGGCTGCTCAAGCTGGGTGAGGCGCGCACGCACTCAGGCACGCTGGGCACACGCAGGCACACACTCAGGCACGCTGGGCACACGCAGGCACACACTCAGGCACACTGGCACACTCAGGCACAAACTCAGGCATGCTGGGCACACGCAGGCACACACTCAGGCACACTGACACACTCAGGCACACACTCAGGCACACTGACACACTCAGGCACACACTCAGGCATGCTGGGCACACGCAGGCACACACTCAGGCACACTGACACACTCAGGCACACACTCAGGCACACTGACACACTCAGGCACACACTCAGGCACGCTGGGCACACGCAGGCACACACTCAGGCACACTGAGAAAATGGCTGACACACACAGGCACGCACTCAGGCACGCTGCGCACATGCAGGCACAGTCAGGCACACTGGGGCACACTGACACACTCAGGCACACTGGTACACACAGGCACACACTCAGGCACACTGGGCACACTCAGGCACAAACTCAGGCACACTGGGGCACATGGCCGACACACACACAGTTGACATGCAACCTCAGGGTGGAGTCGAGCCGGTCCCAGGCCTCCTGACCCCCAGCGCAGCCGTCTGCCTGCCCATCTCTCCATCCGTCTGTCCTGGGAGTGAAGGGGGTGGGGGGGAGGGGAAGGACAAGCAGGAAGGGGGGCAAACGCTGACAGATCCACAAACTCTTCAACTGCCGCCCCGGCTCCCTTCCCGGGGCCACTGAGGAGGCTGAGGCTCCAGGAAGCGAGGGCTCCTGCCGAGGTCACAATGGCCAATGGCAGATCGTTGTGGGCAGAGGGTGGGTGTCCCTGAGGACGACAGGAAGTGGCTCAAGGGAGCTCCCCTCCCCGCCATGAGGGCCTAGACCTGCAGAGAGGAGCCTGGTGGGAGCTGCGGCGGTGTGGGCGGCGGCTGCAGAATCCAGAATCGGGTAGGGGAGCTGCAGGGCCAGCCCCGGCCCCCACTCCTCCCACTCCTGGGCGCCCCCTGCAGGGACCGCTGAGCCAGGCAGTGGCCCTCTGAGGCAGGCACAGGGACGGGGCCTGGGCTGCCTGTGCACGCCCACGTCCCACCTGTCCTCCCACAACCCGCAAGGCAGCCTTTCGAGCCCAGCCGACAGCTCTAGGCCTCAGGGAGGCTCTAAGCCTCAGATCCCCGCTCCTCCCCCGGGTGCTGGTGGTCTGGTTGCTCAGCCTCAGCTTCCGCGGCTGTGAAATGGGGAGAATACTCACTGGGAGGCTTGACTGTGTAGCAAAATGGCTAACCGCTTGCCTTTAGAACTCCGCCCCTGGAGGGTTCGAATCTCAGCTCTGCGGCAGGCTCTGGAGCAGACTTGGTCTCCTCATCTGTAAAGGGGGTTAATAACGCTCTCCCCCTCACAGTGGAATTAATAAGGGAATATTATTTAAACCCTCTAGAATGGTGCCTGGCAAATGCAAGATGAAATGCTTAGCCCGGTGCCAGGCAGGAAGCAGCCAAGGATGGACTGAGCGGGGAGGGTGGCAGGACAGCCAGGGAGTGGCCAGCCACTGTCCGGGGTCTCCCACTGTCCGGGTCTCATCACGGAGGAGCCTCGCACGCTGGGTCCGGCAGCTCAGGGAAAAGCTGGGGTAACGGAGCCACTAAGATTTCTTAGAAAGGAAGGAATAGATCTGGGGGAAGTGCGGCTGCTGGGAGCTAGGGGCTCAGGAGGGGGAAAGCATCCAAGGCCCTGCTCTTCCATGGGGAGTGTCTCAGCCTGGAGGAGGAGGAAGAGGGAGAGGAGGAGGAGGAGGAGGGGGAGGAGGGGAGAAGGAGGAAGAGGAGGGGGAGGAGGGGGAAAAGGAGGAGGGGGAGGAGGGGAATTAGGGGGAGGAGGGGGAGGAGGGGGAGGGGGAGGAGGAGGAGGGGGAGGTGGGGGAGAAGGAGGAAGAGGAGGAGGGGGAGGAGGAGGAGGGGGGGAGGGGGAGGAGGGAGAGGAGTAGGAAGAAGGGGAGGAAGGGGAGAGGGAGAGGGAGGAGGGGGAGGAGGGGAGAGGGAGGAGGGGGAGGAGGGGAAGGAGGGGAAGGGGAGGAGGGGAGGGGGAGGAGGGGGAGAAGGAGGAGGAGGAGGGGAGGGGGAGGAGGGGGAGGAGGGGAGGGGGAGGAGGGGGAGGAGGAGGAAGAGGAGGGAAAGGAGAGGGGGAAGAGGAGGGGGGGAGGGGGAGGACTGACTCCGCTTTGGCCTCTTGCAGGGGGCCGTGTGAAGACGTGGAAGCGGCGCTGGTTCATCCTGACGGACAGCTGCCTCTACTACTTCGAGTTCACCACGGTGAGCCTGCCTGCCCCGGCCCGCACCCCCTCTACACCCCTCTGCACCCCCTCTGCACCCCCGCTGCACCCCCACTAAGCAGTGGCCTCACAGAGCTGGGCCCTTTGAGATCACAAAACCCACCTCTGCACCCATTTTACGGATGAGGAACACTGAGCAAGAAGAGGCGGAGGGGCTGGGCCAAGAGCCTAGAGATTACAGTTGTGTCTCCTAACTCCCAGCCAGGACTCTCTGTGCTGCCCCCCCTCCAGGGCTGGACGGGGTACTCCTCTTGGTTTGAGGGAGCCCCTGTCTACAAGCTCACTCCCCCGTCCACACCTCAAAGCTCAGTTGCTGATCATGACCTCCCCTCCGGTTCCCCTGCAGGACAAGGAGCCTCGGGGAATCATCCCCCTTGAAAACCTGTCGGTGCAGAAGGTGGACGACCCCAAGAAGCCGGTGGGTGTCGGGGTGGGGACCTGGGGGCTGGAACAGCTGGGGGACTCTCTGAAACCGAGTAGGAGGCGAGGGCGGTTGGCCTGGGTTCTCCAGCAGGCTAGGCCAGACCCCGCCCACCTGGGGGGGATATGGGGGGCTCAGGGCTGCCTCCATCTCCCTCCTGGGGCCGTGGACCCTCCTGCCTGCCCCTCCGCCTCTCAGGGAGCAGGCCTGGGGCCGGGTGTGTGCTGCTGCTTGTCCAAGCGTGTCTTACCCAAGAGTCTAGTCCTCTCTGACCTCCTGGAGCGTCCAAGCACCCCCTCTCCTCCCTGCCCGCCCTCACCTGGCCACCTACCTCCCCACAGTTCTGCCTGGAGCTCTACAACCCCAGCTGCCGGGGCCAGAAGATCAAAGCCTGCAAGACGGACGGGGACGGCAAGGTGGTGGAGGGCAAGCACCAGTCTTACCGGATCTCGGCCTCCAGCGCCGAGGAGCGGGACCAGTGGATCGAGGCCATACGGTAAGGGATGCCCAGCTGCTAGGGATGGGCCTCCTGTCCCTTCCCAGAAGCCCCTGCTTCTTTCGGGCCTGCTTTCCTGTCTGCAAAGGAGGGCAACTCCAGAGTCTCCCTCCTGCTTCTGGCACGCAACTCCCTCCCACCCATATTCTGTGAGCGCCTCTCTGTGCCAGGCGCCGGGGCACAGGGGAGCGTGGCACCAGCTCCCGGGGGCTGATGGGAGGAGCCGAGGAGAGCTCACACGTAAAGCTCTTTGCCCAGCCCCTGACAGGGGTCAGTGCTTGGATGGCGCTGTAGTTAGTGTCAGGATCACCTGGCACAGAGGGAGGGACAGGTGTCCCCGGCAAGGGGACCCGTGTGGGCAAGGATGGGAGAGCAGGGCAGGGTGTGGCACAGTCCTGGTGGCTGGTACTGGGCAGCATGGGGCCTGGCTGTGCGGGGACAGGGCACTGTGGGCGTGGAGCAGTGAGAGAGGGGGCTGCAGAGGATGGCAAGGCCTTGGCTGCCATGGCAACGAGCTTGGATTTCTCGGGGGCCCTGGGGAGCCACAGACTGGTAAAGAGAGAAGGGGTGTGCCAGGTGAGGAAGGCTACAGTGCGGGGGCAATGGAGGGAGGCCATGGAGAGGGGGCAGGAGAACAACCTTGACTCTGAGCCTGGGGAGGCGCGGGCAGGGCCAGAGGAAGTCACAGGGCCAGTCTCCGGACTGGGGCCATGTCCCAGGAGCTTGAAGGGTCTTTCCCCTCAAGCGTTGCAGCAGCTCTGTTAGGCTGCCGGTTCGAATCCATTCTCACCTCCGTTGTACAGATGGAGAAACTGAGGCCCAGCGAGGGGAGGGACTTGCCCAGGGCCACACTGCCAGTGGGGGACGGAGCCAGGCCAGCAAGCAGGCCTCCCTCCATCCGGGATCTTTCCACCTCCTTCTGAGAGTGTGATGGAGCCAGAAGAGGGGTGCAGGGACATTTGGGGGGCAGATCTCCCCAGGCTTTCAGTTCCCAGGCTCCTCCTTCCAGCCCTGATCCTGGGCCTCTGGGTTAGGCCAAAGGGGCCAGACACACCCGCCCCTGTCCGGGGTCCTGGTCGGGGTCATCTGGCCTTTCCCTGCGAAACCTACGCCCCTATAACCAGCCGGGGGAGACAGGACCCCCTGATGCTAGCTCCGCCCCCAACTCTCTCACCTGCTCCCCTTCCAGGGCCAGCATCACCCGTGTCCCCTTCTACGACCTGGTCTCTGCCCGGAAGAAGAAGATTGCCAGCAAGGACTGAGCTCCCGGGACGGGGTGCTGGGCCCGGCAGCCCGGACCCCATGACTATGGAACCTGGAGACCCGCCGCCCAGTGCAGGGCACGCTTTCCAGGCCTGCAGACACCCTCCCTCCCCATGGCTTGGAGCTGACAGGACGGGAGGCGGGGCTCAGGAAGGTGGGTGGGAACAGCTGAGGACCCCGAAGGTCAATGAGGTCCCTCGGCACCCAGCTGCTGCCAGGAGAGGCCTGAGGAAGCGGGCGAAGAGAAGCCAGACACCTCCCCACCCGGTCCTCTCTCTGGGCCTCAGTTTCCCCTTCTGTGAAGGTCTCCTCGCACTCTGGAAAGCCGTCAGGCCTCACGGCAGGAGGGCCGTGGCGTTCCTAAGCCCCATCTCCAGGGCGCTGGGTGCCTTCTGCCCAGGTCTCTTTCCTCCTCTGGTTCTGGGAAAACTGGGCAATGTCTTGGCCCCTCTGGCTCTGTGTGTGCTCCTCGCCATTCCCTACGGTGAGGGGAGCCTCAGCCCCTGGCTGCCTCCCGCCTCTCGGACTGCTTCCTCCAGGCAGGCGGACGGGATTGCACCAGGTCTCCCGAAGGAGCTTCCGGCTGGAGATGTCTGCACGTGTTTGCTGAGCCGGCGGGGACTCTGGACTGAAGGCTGCTGGGGAGCTGAGAGCAGCGTGGGCTCCACCCTCGGGGTGTCCATTTCAGGGGAGGCGCAGGCAGGACTCCTCAAGAACATGGCACAGCACATCCCAGGCGGACGCACTTGGTGGTGCAACCAAGAGGCCCAGAATGGACAGCGTGTGGGTGTGGTTAGCAGGAAGGCTGCCTGGAGGCGGCGGCCATGGCAGCCACGGCGATGAGTGACACAGAAGCTCATGGCAGTCTCAGCCAAGGCTTCCCTGCGAGACCACGGAGCGGGATTCCGTGGTGGCGAGGGGCCGCCCAGCGGGGCCTCGCACCTTGAGCCCCTCTCTCTGTGGCAGCACCGGCACCATGAGAGCTGAGCCGACTTCCCGGCGACCGGCAGGCGCCTCTGTCTCCTGGGAGGCCCTGGCCTGGGGGAGGATGCCTCCCTCGAGCAGGCTTCTCCTCAGAGGCACTTCTCACCCCCTCACCGGGTCCTGGGGGAGCCCCGAGGGAAGTTCCCTGAAGGAAGCAGCATATGGGGCTGCCTCTGCCCGCTGCCAGCCTGTGCCAGCCTGAGTGGGCGAGCAGGAGCTCCGGGGGTTCCCCAGGGGAGGGGAGGCAGCCTCTGCTTCCCCCACCGCCTCTGCGTGCCCACCTCCCCGGCGTCAGGATGGAGCGGCCGCCTGGTGAAGGGAGACCCGTCTCGGGAGTGTGCAAGGGCCTGGCGTGAGACTGCACGGAGAAGGCGCTGAGCTGGGCAGCTGCGGGAGGCCGCCTTGCAGGAATGTCAGGACGTCCCAGCCCCCGGGTCAGCCTGGGAGCTGGCCTCCACCTCTGCCACCTCTGCCACCTCACCGGCTCAGGAAGGGGCAGCCAGGGCTCACGGGAGGAGCCCTGGCCTGGGGGTCACGGGGCCTGAGGTCCTCTCCTGCCACTGTCCCCCGCTGACTGTGATCTCAGTCCCCTCCCGCCCCCTCTGTCCCCGGCGCCCCCCTCACTGAGGGGAACGGGTGCTGTCTGGGCGCGGGAGCATGAGTCACTCAGTTGAGAGAATAAAAGTCATTATGCACCTCATGGGTGGGCCCTGTCCTCTCACTGTGACCACGTCTGCCATCTTTGACCTTCCCAGCGGAGGGCAGCAGGGCCAGGCAGGGAAGAGTGGGCACTGGGGGAGGGGGGGAGGCGCCTGGACCCTCACCCTCAGGACCCTTGAGGCGGCCACACTGGACAGACATCCCCGAGGGCTGGGTGTGCCACAGGGCTCTCTCAGAGCAGGGAGGGGCGAGCCGGCTCTGCCCAGGCTGGGGAAAGGCGAAGGAACTTCCCAGCAGGCAGTGCTGCCTAAAGAGAGAGCTGCTGCCTGGGGAGAGAGGTGGTGAGCTCCCCGTCTGTGGAGGGATGCAAGCACAGCTGGCTCTGATGACCCTGTGGGTGTCAGAGAAGAGCTTGACTGGTAACCTTCCTCTACTTGTACTTTTCACAACATTGATTCAATCCCTCCCGGGTCCCAGGCGCTGTTCCAGGCACGGCTGAGCCGCTGTCCCCTGGGGCTTACATTCTAATGGTTCTGGGTTCTAGCGCCCTGGGCAGCCCCCTCCGGATGTGTGGGGCACCCAGGTGGCTCCCGCACCCTAACCCAGCCCCCTCTCTGAAATTCCTCCAGTGAGCCACCGCCTCGATCACCTTACCCACATAGGCCCCTGCTTACCGAGTAGCTGCTATGTACAGGCCCCACGCGCAGAGCCAGGAAGGCAGAGATGACCAAGACAGAGCCCAGTCCTCAAAAGGAGCTCAGATCAGGCCGGGGAGACGGGAGTGAAAGAGCAGGGACAGCCTAGGCCGGCCTGTGCTGTGATGGGGAGCACGGGGGCCCGTGGAGCTGGGCTGGGCTGGGCTGGGCTGAGGGGCAAGCTGGGGAGGCTCCTCGGAGGAGCTGTGCTGGAGTGTTGGCAGCAGGCAGGGGTAAGGACACGCACCTGAGAATGCAGGGAGCGCACCTCGTGCCTGTTTCCCAAACCACACACACACACACACTCACACACACACACACACACACACTCACACACACACACACACACACACACACACACACACACACATGCGCGCGCGCGCACCGTGAATTCCTCACAGGCCAGACTGTCCCCAGCTCAGTGCCTAGGACACAGTAGGTGCAAAATAATTGTTGGTTAGACTGGCGTCAACTGAGAAGTCAGCTCCAGCAGGTGCACATGTCTGGAAGCGTAGGGAACAGGGTGTGCTGCCAGGAGTTGGGGGAATGAGGGGAAAGGGGGCAGGCAGGGCCACATCACAATCCAGGATGGGGAGGGGGGCTCAACTCCCTGACGCAAGCCCCCTGGCTCCTCCCCTGGGCAGCTCCTGCCCACCTTCCCACCATCCCGCCACTCCTCACTCCGGACAGCAGGGGGCTCCCCCCACACATGGATGAGAGGTTCCCAGGACGCAGCCCCAAAGCCCAGACCGCCTCCCCTGCAGGCAGGAGCCTCAGTCAGAGCAGAGCTTTGGCCTGGGCAGCCTTGGGCAGGGAGAGGAGAGGAGAGGGGCGATCTTGTCTAGTTGAACCAGCAGGCTCAGGCTCAAGCAGCCCAACAGGCAGCCATGGCACAGGTAAACACAGCCCCCGCCTCTCCCCTCCTCCTCCTTCAAGCTGGGCTCAGCCTGGGAGTCAGGACGCCCAGCTCTCACTTCCTGGCTGTGGCCCCTGAGCTTGTGGCTCACCCTCCCGAGGCGCCATCTTCCCCCCTGAGGGCTGAGCCAGCGGACCCCCATCACACAGACCGTTAACGGGACTTCCACGGGCAAGGGCGTCTCCGCCACGGGTGCAGCACAGCCCCGCCCTGCTGGACTGGTGCAGACAGGTGTGGGAGAGGGGGTGGCAGGGGAGGAGGTGTCACCGAAGTGTGAGAGGCCACGGGAGCAGTCCTGAGAGCCACCCAGAGGGCCTGGGTTCAAGGCCCAACTCTACCCTGTGTCTGAAGCAGATTTCCTAAGCTCTGTGAGCCTCAGCTTTCCCATCTATAAAATGGGAACAACTAAATACGCACAAAAGCACTTAGGACAGTGTTGAGTGCCTACTCGAGGTTGTGATAAACACCAGTATGTATTACTGCTGTTGTTATTACCAGGCAGAAGGTGTGCATACATGCCTTCATAGAGATTCTAACCAGGCTGAGGCCATTGGGGGAAGAAAGACTCATGGGGGTGGGGGGAGTGAAGATCTGGGAGGGCTTCTTGGAAGAGATGCCCTTTCAAGATAAGCAAAGTGGAAGCCTGGTTCTTCCAGCCAGTGGGACCGGGAGGAACCGAGACCAGGATTCCTTTGGATCCCAAAACAAGCCGGGGGGCGGGGGGGGGGGGGGGGGCGGCAGATACAAGTTTGAGGAAGGCTGGGTTCTGGCAAGAGCTGGGCTGTGTGCACGATGGTGCAATCCCTAGCACCTCCAAGGCCACTGAGCCCCTTGTCATGAAGCTCTGACTGGGGATCCAGAGGCAGGGCTGAACAGAGACCATCGCAGAATGGGGGGGTAGGCAAGCTTGGCAAAGGATGCCCTGGGATGGAGAAGGAGAAGGCACGGGGGCTCTGAGAAGGCACGTGGGACCCCTGCCCAGTGCCTGAGGACGGGGAGCAGCCTGGGTAACCCAGAGCTGGCAGGAGCCGGGGATGGGGGCAGGCAGCCAGCAGCCTGGCGGCCGGTGTGAGAGACCTGGAGAAATTGATTTATTAGGGACAATGAGAGGAGCTAAATATGTTTGCCGGCTCAGCGATGACTCAGACGCTCCCCCGGGGGTCCACAAAGCGTGAGCATCAAAGCAGCAAAGAGGCCTCCGCCCACCAGGGCTCTGCCAGCCTGGAACCCGGGCTGCCCCGGGATGGAAGGGCCTCCCGTGGAGTGTCAGGAGGGCCTGGCCTCTGAGAGGCGGCAGAGATCGGCCGCCCCACCCTGCATGCCCGTGCCCCCCCCTCCTCCTCCCAGGCCTCCCCGGAACCGCCTGGGGAGACACATCTGGGCTGCAGCCCTGGCCCTGCCCCAGCTGCTGAGTGATCTGGGACAAGCGGCTGGCCCTCTTTGGACCCACATTCGCCAGAGAGGATGGATCCCCGCGGAGCCAGGGCCCGGCGCCCCTCCCAGCCTGGCAGTGTCATCCCCATCCGTTCGCTTCTTCCCGACAGCCCAGCACGGCCTCCGCTGCCTAAAAGCACCAGGAGAAAAGCCAGCTCCTCGGGGCCTGGCGGGGGAGACACTGCCTTCCGGTGCCGGGTTCCAGGCCGGAGCTGGGCTGCGGTGCCGGGCTGCGGGAGACGCAGGGATGACTCAGAGTCTGAGGCCCGAGGCAGGGCAGCCAGAGGAGGGAGCAAGCAGCCCTTTCCTCGAGGGGGAACGCGCTGGGGGCTGCCGTGGGGGTGTGGGAGGGACCTGCAGGGCGGGGGCTGGGAGGAGCGGAGGGGAAGGGTCCGCAGGGTGACCTGCGGAGACCCAGGCCCCCCCCCCCCCCCCATGGCACAGGCTGGGAGGTGCACCCTCCCCCATCACCAAGCCCAGGGAGCTACTCTGACCCCAGGCCTAACCCGGAGAAGGGCCACTTCTATGGGTCACAGCAGCGCCCGCCCCTCCCAAACCCACTTGGCCCTCCCCTCCTGGACCCACAGTGCTAGGGGCCTCAGGCCCTGCCAACCTGTGCCCCACAGGCGGTATTGATGGAGGTTTCCCTTGTAGTCTCCTGTGAGTGCTTAGCAGCAAATGATCCTCAAAACAAGCCACAAAGACCCAGTGCCCCGGATTTCACCCGGACACCCCTGCCCCCACTACCCAGCATGCCCAGCAGCAATATGTCATGGCCAAGGCCATCATTCATGGGGCACTAACGAGGACCAGGGCCTCTGCCAACATGCTGCCTTCGGACCTACCGCCACTCTCCGCAGGAGGCACTGCTACCCCGCTCAGGTAAGGTCCTGAGCTCACGGGGGGCGGGGGGTGTAGAGGGGCGCCACGGGGCCCAGCTGGGCTAGGGCAGGAGCCAGCAGGGAACCCCGCCATCCGACTTGAGACCTTGATGGATTCGGGTGGCCCCTCTGAGAGTGCTGGGTTAGAGGGGGTGCTGGGACAACGGGGGTGACCAGGACAGCCACGGGCACCTCGAGACTTGTGGTCACTCCAGGCCTAGGGTATGGACATTTCTGCCAGAGCCTGCAAGGCAGTCGGGGCACCCTAGGGGGCCCTGTGGGCTGGCAGGGATGTGGCCCATGGCTGTTCCATCCCGGGAAGCACAGGGCAGCTACTTCATCCAGAGCGGACCCTCCCGCCATCCAATTCCAATGAGCACTCCCCCTTCCTAAGTCCTGCCCCAAAGCTGGTCCTGAGTGCAGGGAGCTGGCCCACCACCTGCCCCCTGCAGACATCTGATGGGGCCTCCCCTGCAGGGCTGAGAGCAAGGGCTCTCGTCAGAAGCACCATGGGTACCAGGGGCTGTCCCTCCCAGCCTCCTGGGAGCAGCTGAAGCCTCCCCCTTTAGGAAGTCCTCCTTCACCACCCAGCCCCCCCCCCCTCTGCTTCTGCAAAGGACCCTTCGCCGGTCCAGGAACGCCTCCACCTGTGAAACCATCCTGCCCCTTCTTCCTGGGGAAACCGAGGCTCACCAAGGCGATGGGACATGTTCTAGGTCACCCAACGTGGAGGACGACAGAGATAGGAGACATGTATCGAGCATACGTCATCTCTCTGGTCCTCCCCACAGCCCACACGGCAGACAGGATTGCTCCCATTTAACAGAGGGGAAAGTGGAGGCCCAGAGCCACACAGGCCGGGACATGGCGGCTAATCAACTTGTTTCCGTTGAGCTGTCGAGGCCAGGAGGACCGGGGACCGCAGGCAGTTCTCAGCAGAGGAGGGGGGATTAACGCCTGACCTTTCCAGTCCCTGTGATCCTTTGAAGCTGAAGCTTAACTCTCTTCTCTTCCTCCCTCCTCCCGGGGATTTGCACTTCATAAAGAGCAGCCTGGGGAGGAACCAGCTTTGATGCAAAGACATTTTTTTTTTTTTTTTTAAGAAAATGTCCCC